GATTCTATTCTAAGCTTTGCAGGTAGCCACAAGGATTAGAGATGATAGTGATAATTATAGGAACACTATTATTTATTGAAAAGCTACTGTGAACAGGCACTGTGTAGGAACTTTACAAATGATATCTCACTAAGTCCTTCCAACTATCCTATAATGCAGGTATTACTACCCTATCTTTAGAGATAAGAAAACTGAAGCCCAGAATAATCAAGAATGTAGCCTGAATTCCATAGCAACTCAGCAGTGACCTGGAATTTATCTTTCTAGCATATGATACAAATAAAATGCCTAGCAAATTGCCTTGTGCACAGTAAATATTAGTAATTTTTAACCATTTTTACTATTGTTATTGCCACATTTGATTTTATATAGCTGGTGCCTAAAAGACATAAGAATTTTTTTAAATATTATTTCTAAGAGGACTTAAAATAGATATAAAAATCTATTATGATCTAGTTGTTCAGATATCCTCATTTTTCCCAAAGTATATTTGAGAGAGAATACAAAAGCAAAGAGAAGATGCATACATGGAAAGTTTATGGTCAATTAAATGTGTGAAATGCTATATATTGTATTCTTCTCCTGGAGAGTCACAAGAAATATTAGCATATTAAAGACTCGGAGATGTCTTTCAGTAAAGGAAACTATTAATCTAGTTTAATCCAAAGCTTTCAAATGTATTTAACAAAGGAATTATTTCTTCACATGATATTTATGACCATCCTTTGAAACCGGTGCTCTCTGGAAAACATTTGAGAAAAAGGAATCTATCGAAATTCCTCTTCCAAGTTGAGCATGTAATATTTTGATGGCTCTTCTTTTTCTGCCAACTCCCCACTGTGGATGTGCTGGGAAATGTCAGAGCTGACAATAAAGTTCTTCTGACCCTTAACTGCTAAACCCAAGTTTTTCTTAGGCTTTTCTCATAGCAGCACAACATTCTTTCTACTTCTCTCCATAATGCAGTCGCAGGTAACATCCCAAAGCTTTCCTGAAACTCCTGCTTATAGTCTTTCTTAGCTCTCCTTATACACCTTATCTTCTGTACCATTCCGTTGCTTCAAAAGTTCTGTTGATTCTAACTTGCTAATTAATTTGTCATGTGCTTATCACTTCACAATTAAATTGTAAGTTCCTTGGTGTCTGGAACCATGCACTGTGCGGCCGTGTGTCCCTAAAAGCGCACGAACACCGCGCATTGCTCATCCGATTGTTCAACAAATATGCACTAAACATCTCTAATGTGCCAAGCTCTGTTCCAAGTGCTGGGGGTATAGCAGTACCCCTACAAGGTCATCAGCACTCCACTCTGGTAGAACTTTCATTGTACTGGGGGACATACATAAATAAGTCTCTGAGTAAATACACAATGTAATGTCAGATAAGAATAAGTTGTATGGCGGTGTCTGGATGGCTCAGTCGGTTAAGCGTCTGTCTTTGGCTCAGGTCATGATCTCAGGGTCCTAAGATCAAGCCCAGGGTCAGGCTCCCTGCTCAGTGGGGAGCCTGCTTCCCCCTCTGCCTGCCACTCCTCCTGCTTGTGCTTTCTCTCTCTCTGGCAAATAAATAAATAAAATCTTAAAAAAAAAAAAAAAGAAGGAATATTTAAGCTGAAATCTGAATAAATGAAAAGGTCCGAAAGAAGAGTGTTCTAGACCAGAGTAAAGGGCCAGGGCAAAGGTTGAAGGCTGGTGCAGTTTGCTAAGTTGGAGGACTAGCGGAAGGTCAGTGTGGCTGGAACATGCATAATTAGTCAGGGCAATCAGTATGATAACAAGTTCAGTTCATTCGTGGTGGGTATGAGCCAGACTGCAGTAAGGAATTTGGACATCATTTTAGGTGATATGGAAGCCACAGAATGCTGCAGACATGAGAACGAGCTGAGCATGTTTCCATAATGTTAGAAGACCACTCTGACTGCAGGATAAAGAATGAAATGTAGGGAGTCAAGGTAGGAATCAGGGAGGCCAGTTACAGGCTATTTTAGTCAACAAAGCAAGACATGAGGGTGATTTAGACGAGGGTGGTGGCAGGAGAGCAAAGGAAGGAGACAGATTGTGGATGTACTTTGACAAGAGACAACAGGACTGGCTGGCTTGAGCAAACTAGAGGATGGTGATATTTCCTCTACGGGGATATCTGGGAGATCAATGATGCTGGGAGGAAGAGTGAAGAAGGGAATTGAGAATCCTTCTGACCGTGTTAAGGGTGAGAGGTCTACAAGACATCCAGGAATATGTGTCATTTTTACCTGATTCAGGAGCTCATGGGAAAGAGCAGGGCTAGATGCAGACATGGGAGTAGCTGGCACAAAAACAGTATTTGACATCACGGGCACTGCATCATCTAGAGAGAGATTGTAATCCCAAAGCACCTGAGAGACTGACACTGAGAAAGGGAGGCCAAAATGGGGGGCAGAACCCCAGGAGGATGTGGTGTGGAAAAGTCCAAAAGAATGAAATGCAGCTGGAATGAAGGAGTAGTCACTGAGTAAAATGGCAAAGATCCAGCTGAGGACAGAAGAGGACCCATCGAGTTGGTCCCCATGGAGGCAGGCAGAGCAGGTTCAGGGGAGCGGTGACAACCAAAGCTGGGAAGAGTGGGTTGAAGCCTTGGTGAGGACTGGTAAACATTCAGTGTAGATAAACTCTTCAAAACGATCAGCTGTGAAGAAGAGCAGAGAAGAGGGGGACAGGAGCTGGAAGGGACATGGAGCCAGGAAAGGGCTTCCCTGACCCCAGGGTGGGAGGAACTCCACTTTCTCCGCATAGAGTCAGAAGGGATGATTAACGGTGTGGAAGAGGGACTCTTTAATTATCGTAGATTTTTCAATGTATTTGATTCACATTAAACTGAACTGTCACAATCAGCAAGCAATAAAACTGAGTGGTAATAACAACAATATTAACTTGTGTTTAGTGCTTATTATGGGCTAGGCACTGTTTTATGTGCTTTTTATAGATATTAGCTTCTACATTCCTCCAAAAAACTGTAATTGTTCTCACACAACACCCGATGAGGAAACTGAGATATGGAGACTTTGGGTAACTTGTCCAGTGTCACGGATGCAGGAAGTGACGGAACCAGGATTCACACTCAAATGATCTGACTCTGAGGCTTTAACTACCAGGATAAACTGGCACAAGCTTGCACATCTGCTGGCATTTCCTCAGTTCATGACCCGTTTTATGACTCACCAGCTCTCAGTTACCTCTTCTTTCATCTGGGCACACAGTTACAAAGGTTGGGAGGAACTGCTTTTTACCTCTTTCTCTAGTTAGGGCAAACCTATGAGATGGCCCATCCAATTAGGTGTGGGCACAATTCTATCAAAATTGCCCCTTATAGAATATTTATAAACATATGCTACATACTAAAATATAATTTTTAACAGGATAGTTTTTTCCCATACAAAGTATTCCTCCTATAGACACATTAAATATTACTTCAATGGCCACATGGGATTCACTTGTTGGGATATACCACAGTTGACTTCAAATGTGTATGTGTGTGGGCTTATTAATTTATATAAGAAGGCCATGTTCTTGGCAGAAAAATTAGAAAACACAGCTTAGCAAAAAGAGCTCCACTCATTCTTTCACTTAATAAATATTACTACATGTCCTTTTTATGTCATGCAACTATTACAAATCATGCTTTCAAATGCTATTTAAAAGCATGAGGAAAATGCAAAGGAAGAATTGCAGGATATAAAACTATATAGAAAGTATGTGAAAAAATTAGTAAAAAACAAATCACATACACACACACGAGAGAGAGAGAGAGAAGGGGGTAAATATCTAAGCAGTAGTTATTTCTGGATGTGAGATATTAAGGATGATTTTTATTTTCTTCTGCTTCCCTTTTTTTACCTTATTGTTCTATAATGAACATATATTACTTTAATACTCAGAAAAATGTTACTTCAAAAATTAAGTATTTCTACATATTATGCTGAGAGCACATGCATTACCAGACATCTGATTTGAAGCTAAAATGGAATCCATTAAGATAGTAAGTCATAGGGGGTATGAGGACATGTTTATTATTTCAATTACTCAAAATAATGCTCCGAATGATTCCACTGCCAAGAGCACTATTCAGGATGTGTGTGTGTTTGTGTGTGTGTGTGTGTGTGTGTGTGTGTGTGTGTGTGTGTGTGTGTTGTGGAGTACCACATAATTATCCACGCTAATTAGTATATATTTAACAAATGATGGACAAGTAACATGGAGCTTTGTTTCCTGCCGCTAGATCTACCCAGGAGAGAAAGAAACAGAGAGAGAGAGATCCAAGAGATATTTTCAAGGAAAAAAAAATTCCCTAAAATATAAGTAGAAAATTCAGATACTTTCCTCTGTCCCTTTGTTCAGGCTACCCTTTCAGATGCCTCTTTCCTCTAAACTTTTTCATTGTAAAAAATTACAAATACTCTATATATATATATATATATATATGAGTGCTTAAAAATATATACAATAAGCCTCACATTCCCATCACCCAGCTTCAATTATCAACATTTGTAGGATCTTTCTTTCTAATTTGCTTGTCTTGCATTGGTAGGAAACAGTAAAGTTACGAACAGGAAAACTCTGCAGAAAACATTTTAAAGATTAAGCAAACGAGATGGATTTTTAAAACCTCATGGCCCAGAGCTAAAACTAATATGTGAAGGAGTCCCCAAATAGTTTCTGAGGTCTGCTGATGCAGTCACCACCTCTCCCATCCAGTGTGCCCTTCCTCTCCAATAGCTAAATGGCTATGCATTATTATGCTTGGAAAATGGAAGAACTAAAAGAAAGAAAGCAATAAGAAATAAGAAAGAGCAAACTCTGTAGGACAGAACTGGGGGAAAGAGGGAGCATTCACCCAGGGAAAGTGTGGCCAAGAAGACAGCCTGGGGATGAGCCAGCAGCAGGCTGGGCAGGCCCCTCCCAAGTACAGAGGTCACCAAGCAAGGCTAGTGGGGCACTACCAAACTACCACCTGGTTGTACCTACCCAAACTGTTGTCGCTGCTCGTAGGCCAGGAGGCAATTCTATCCCTCAGCTTCTTCTTTTTACAGGAGTTGTCTGACTTCTCAGAAAGACCTACTTCCTCCTTCCTAATTTCTCGAACGAGCTGCATGCGGCACCGTGTAAAATCCTGAAAGGAAATCTTCCCATGTTCATCGGCGCCCAACTGGTTCATGATCTCAGCCACAGACTCTTCCATATTCAATTGGCGACAGACCATCAACAAGTCATTTCTACGGGAGGGTTGAACAGAAGAAAACTCGTTAGGAGAGACACTGAGCTAGAGAACGTGGTTAATGGGGGAGAAAAAGAGCATTTCTCGAATATATCCACACAGAGGAAACCTATTCCCAACTCCCTTTTTGCTTCTAGAAAAGTGGTAAGTGTGCAAAAAGACCTCTTGCATCTGGGGGATTCTAGACATGAACTCTATCTAATTATTTGGAAGAGGGGGGCAACTCTGAATCCTTTGGTTCTCTTTTTCTTCCTGTCTCCACTCTCCCTCCCCGTCTTTCTTTCCAAAAGCAATGGAGCACCTGTCGAGGGTAGCCCTGACACCTCACTGCAAGATAAACTTTCAGAACATAGAAAAGACATTGCTTCTACCCTTGGCAGAGTTTAACATCTAGTCCAACTGTAAAAGAACAACAAAAATTTTAACAAGCTTGTTTTTCAGCTTTCTGGACCAACCAGCAAATTCTAGCACTTCTTTAAAAGGCTATTTAACCCCAACTTTCATTACTCAGTGCTTGCCCACCTCTGGTTTTTCCTGATTTTCTTTGAGTATTTTCCACCTTCCCATCAGCAGTTAGCCCTAAGACCCAGAGAAGGGGTCAAAATCCCAAATGTCTTCCAGAACTAGGACACAATGTAAATATGTAAAGTGGGTTGTTCTAAGACAGGAGAGGTTGGTCGAGTCTGGTGCTGGACTATAGAAGTATATCCAGCCTCAGTATGTTTTCAAATTTAAAAAACAAAAACAAAAATAATTAAAAAGGAACAAGAACAACAGCACTATGTTGGCCAAGAGCAATTACCTAGAGGACATCATTTGGCCCCCAACACATAAGTCTTATTCTTTTCAATCTGCACTCTTTGGGGAAACATTTTGTTCATATTGCTCCAACTGTACATCTCTATAAAGGTCAAAGGATCTTAAGAACTGGAAGAGACATTAGAAACTCGTCCATAGTCACAAACAAAGCTAACTAGTGCTCCTGGTCTCAATTTGCCACCAAAGTCCAATCATTTTGAGGACATGAGCAATTTGATGTTCGCTGATACATGAAACCTAACCATGCAAAGAAAGACCAACTGCTGTCTTCCAGCCCCCCATTCCCGCTCCTGGTTGGTGCTACTATGGTCTCCCCACTTTCCCTGGGCACACAGAATTGTAGATAATTTTAATATCTTCTCCTTCACTCCACCTTCCCCTTCATTTCCCCCTCCCTGGTCCCCAGTGTCCAATTTATTATCAAATTTTTGTTGGCCCTGTCCCTGAAATGCTTTTATATTTACTCTTAATTGGGTTTTTCAGGTATATTACACTAGTTTCTCAAACAGATCACCCTGCTTCCATATGCCATTCCATTTTCATGTTTCATAAATCTTTTTTACACGTAGCTACATGTTTTATTTTATCTTGTGTATATGTGTGTACACATATGTGTATCATGTATATTTGCCTATGTGTATACATTTATACATTTTTATGTGTAGGGTAGATGAATAAATAAACATACACATGAAAGTGGGGACAGTAGATTAAATTATTAGTCTTAATTTTTCATTCCCCCGTAGTAGTAGTATACCTCCACACCCTTGCCTTGGCCTCAGGACTAAGGACACTCATGGCAGGTATGTCTTTCCTTATCCCTTAACTTCACGCTTGAAATCGACCTTGCTTTGGTACCCTGGGATGTTAGCAGACAGATGTTTATACGGTGGGGCTTGTCCCCCGCCACTCCTGCCATCATTGTGAAAAGAATGAGCCCCGGTGGCCATTAACCCTCTAGCCTGGGCCCCAAGATGAGCCGTCTCAGCCAACCTATAGACCTGTAGCCTAAGAAGAGCCACTCCAGCTGACGCCACAATGTGCAATCAAGGATAAGTCCTTGTTTCTGCCAATGAGACTTTGTGACTGCTCCCCAGCAACAACTAACTGATACACTGGAACAATGTTTTGTTTTAATGCACTTATATGCTTATCTTTTTTACCCTTCCCTGAGTACAACCTAATATACTAAATATATAATGAATTCCTACCAAGCAATAAGAGAAAGATGACAACCCAATTGCAAAGTGGGCAGAAAATTAACATAAAAGAAAACCCAAATGGTTAAAAAAGATGTGAAAAGACTCTCATCTCAATCTCACTACACATAAGGAAAATGCAGATTAAAGCAAACAATGGAATACCATTTCAATACCAAGACGGTTGGCAAAAATGACAGTCTGACAATACCAAGTGTTAACAAGGAAGAAGAAACTTTCATGGGTTGTAGGTGGAAGAAAACATGGTACCACCTCTTTAGAAAGGATATGGGCAACATCCAAAATAGCAGAGTTAAACACACATTTCAACCAGAAGTTCAACTTTTAGTTGTATATGTTAAAGAAACTTATGCATGGGGGTGCCTGGGTGGCTCAATCAGTTGGGCGTCTGCCTTCAGCTCAGGTCATGATCTCAGGGTCCTGGGATCGAGTCCTGCATCGGGCTCCCTGCTCAGCAGGAAGCCTGCTTCTCCCTCTCCCTTTGCCACTTCCACTGCTAGTGCTCTCCTGCTCTCTCGTTCTGTCAAATAAATAAATAAAATCTTAAAAAAAAAGAAAAAATTATGCATGGCTACAAGGAGAGATGCACAATATGTGTGACAGCAAAGATTTGGAGAGTTTAATAATATTATTAATGGTCATACTGATAAGAATAGCTAATGTACATTGGATGCTTACTGTGTGTCAGGGTCTGAGCTAGTGTTTTAAATATATTAATTAATGTAGTTAATGTAATTAATATACTAATTAATTTTTAATTAATGTCAACCCCCCATGAGGTTGATACTCTTATTAGCTCCATTTAATAAGTGAGGAACTTGAAGAACAGAGGTGTGCAGGAAATAGTCTGGGTGCCTACCAAAAGACCATGAATATATAAATTGAGGTTCTGTCAGTTAACAAAACACTATAGAATAAAGTTTTTGAAAGAAATATAGGTACAATATATGATCATAAATAAATCTCAAAAAGAGTGGTGAGTAAAAACCTCAAACTGAAGAATAATATGAACAGTAGGACAGCACTTACCTAAAGTTTAAAAATATGTAAAACAACACTATAAATTATATATGGATTTACACATAGGCAAGTAATAAAAACAAAACCAGGAAGCATAAATATCAACTGTGAAGTGGGGAGCGAGAGAGGAAAATAGGACTGGGGAAGGGGATTTAACGTGGATCTGTAATGTCATATTAAAAATCACAGGCAGGGGGCAGAGCAAGATGGCAGAGGAGTAGGAGACCTGGATTTCATCTGGTCTCAGGAATTCAGGTGAATAGGGTTCAAACCATTCTGAACACCTATGAACTCAACAGGAGATCGAAGAGGAGAGTAGCAACAACGCTCTGAACAGAGAAGTGACCACTTACTGGAAGGTCTTTTCTGATTTGTATAAAGTACATTTGCTGGGGACGTTGTTAACCTGTTAGCATTTTGTTCTCTCATTCATCTATTCTCCTCTGGACAAAATGACAAGACGAAAAAAATCACCTCAGCAAAAAGAACAAGAGATAGTACCGTCAGCCAGGGACCTACTCAATACGGACATTAATACGATGTCGGACCTAGAGTTCAGAATCATGACTTTAAAGATACTAGCTGGGCTTGAAAAAAGCGTGGAAGTTATTAGAGGAACCCTTTCTGGAGAAATAAAAGAACTAAAATCTAAACAAGTCAAAATCAAAAAGGCTATTAATGAGGTGCAATCAAAAATGGGGGCACTAACTGCTAGGATAAACGAGGCAGAAGAGAGAATCAGCGATATAGAAGACCAAATGATGGAAAATAAAGAGTCTGAGAAAAAGAGAGAGAAACAACTACAGGATCACAAGGGCAGAATTCGAGAGATAAGCGATACGATAAGACGAAACAACATTAGAATAATTGGGATCCCAGAAGAAGAAAAAAGAGAGAGAGGGGCAGAAGGTATATTGGAGCAAATTATAGCAGAGAACTTCCCTAATGTGGGGAAGAAAACGGGCATCAAAATCCAGGAGGCACAGAGAACCTCTATCAAAATCAATAAAAATAGGTCAACACCCCGACATCTAATAGTAAAACTTACGAGTCTCAGAGACAAAGAAAAAATCCTGAAAGCAGCTCAGGAGAAGAGATATGTAACCTACAATGGTAGAAATATTAGATTGGCAACAGACCTATCCACAGAGACCTGGCAGGCCAGAAAGGACTGGCATGATATCTTCAGAGCACTAAACGAGAAAAATATGCAGCCAAGAATACTATATCCAGCTAGGCTGTCATTGAAAATTGAAGGAGAGATAAAAAGCTTCCAGGACAAACAAAAACTAAAGGAATTTGCAAACACGAAACCAGCCCTCCAAGAAATATCGAAAGGGGTCCTCTAAGCAAAGAGAGAGACAAAAAGCAGCACAGATCAGAAAGGAACAGAGGCAATATACAGTAACAGTCACCTTATAGGCAATACAATGGCACTAAATTCATACCTTTCAGTAGTTACCCTGAATGTAAATGGACTAAATGCCCCAATCAAAAGACACAGCCTATCAGATTGGATTGAAAAACAAGACCCATCAATATGTTGTCTGCAAGAGACTCATTTTAGACCCAAAGACACCCCCACATTGAAAGTGAGGGGGTGGAAAACCATTTACCATGCTAATGGACACCAAAAGAAAGCTGGGGTGGCAATTCTTATATCAGACAAATTAGATTTTAAAACAAAGACTGTAATAAGAGATGAGGAAGGACACTATATCCTACTTAAAGAGTCTATCCAACAAGAAGATCTAACAATTGTAAATATCTATGCCCCCAACATGGGAGCAGCCAATTATATAAGGCAATTAATAACAAAAGCGAAGAAACACATTGACAGCAATACAATAATAGTGGGGGACTTTAACACCCCCCTCACTGAAATGGACAGATCATCTAAGCAAAAGATCAACAAGGAAATAAAGACTTTAAATGACAC